GGAGGGGTTTTCCAAAGGACATAGTAAGTGCAATATGGTGTTTTCTTGATGGTTTGAGATAAGTCCTTGTCATGCTATTCCTTTAGCAGGCACATGGGAACAGAATGGTTCACCAGTTGCTATATGGACATTACATTATTCACACTTTTATTAAAACCTAGTCATGCAGGACTGTATAAGGTTCTGAGAAATGACAGATGAATGAAATTAGTGGTGCATAAAGATAACCAAGAAAGAATATTCAAAGATACTCAAAAGGAATATTTACAGTAAGTTTTCAGAGAAAAAGAGAGGAGTGAGTGAACTTTGAAGGTATATTAAATTGTTAATGAAGGTCAGTCTTAAGTGATAGACTTAGGGACTACTCCATTCCATCTCCTGTTTCTCCAAATTTCTACATTTGACATAATAAACATTCATGGCTTTTGGAATTTTAAAAAAATTATATTTAGCTGGATGTAGTAGAGCATGTCTCAAAGCAAAACAAAACACTATAGTCAACTAATAAGATTACAAGTATTGTCGCTTAGGTAATACTGATCCAATGGGAAATCACAAGATGGATGTGAGGTAGGACAAAACCATGGTGAACCAATAAGATTATAACAAGTATAGATACTTAGGTTAATATTGATTAAATGGGGATCAAATGAGGAACTAAGTCATGTAGCAAACGCACAGGGGATGGACAAGGACTTTCCTGGGAGGAGTGGATTAAGGAGATTTTGGTCCTCCACCCAAGGTGATTGAAGCCTATTTAGAATATCAATCACGACTGTTCATCCTTAGGAGAAGTATGTGGGTATAGTGTTCCTCTTTCTCTTGAATCCTAGCCTTTAGTAAATGTGTCTCCTGCCACAATTTTTTTAAATTAAGGTCTCACTTTGTAGTGCAGTCTGGCCTTAAACTCACAGTGATCTTCCAGCCTCAGTCTCCTGAGTGCTGGGATTACAGGCATGCCCCACCACACCTGGCCACGACTGTTTTCTATGTTGAGGGCCCAGCCCTTTCTAACTGCCTGTAATGTTTATAACTAATTTAGCTGTCTACAATAGTATTAAGAGATGAGGTTCTTGGCAGGTGGCTGATTAGACCATAAGGAGCTCTGCACTCAAGGGGGGATTAATGCTGTTAGAAAAGAGTTTGAGGCTTGGGAGGCTGAGACAGGAATGTTGCTGTGAGTTCGAGGCTAGCCTGGGCTACATAGGGAGTTTAAGATCAGTCTGAATTACAGAGTGAGAACCTGTCTCAAAAAGCAAACAAACAAACAACTGCCCCCAAAACTAAAAAATCTTCCTTTCCGGCTTCTGCACATAGACTTAATTATGCTATAATTAAGGTGAATATGTGGTTAATAAAATCCCTTCCAGCAACTGCATCAGCCTAAAACCAGATGTCTATATTTTACAGTTATATGATTTAATAAATTCCATTTGTGACTTAAGCCTATCTGAGTTGGGTTTTCTAATAGTGTGTGTATGAGTCAGGATCCCGGTAGTACATACATAGCATGTTCAAATGAGTTGCTCAAGAAGACAGTAAAGGACAGAGAAACCAACATAAACTAGCAATGGCGGAAAGCCTTCTCACCCCTTGGCCTGAGATGAACAGGAAAGGAACTGGTTTCCCAGAACCAGGACTTAGGCAGAGTGTAGCGCTAGTTACAGGGCAGAGTTGCCTGGCAGAAGTGGTGGCCTCTATGAAGAAAGCAGGAAGGGAGTCAAAGAATCAATACTCTTTCCCCTCTCTTTCTTCCTGCTGCTTAACCTCCTCTTTCTGGCTTCCACTGGCTGAGCTGAGTGGGAGTCAGAAGTAAGGGAGGCTGATGTGGTCTTCTGAAGTCAGCCTCTTGGGCATCAAGCATGATGGAGAGGCCTTGGGAAGACTATGAACATTCGTCATCCTGTGACTCTAACACACTGCTTTACCAAGGACCCTGGGATACTAGATACAGGTTCATACACAAAGAAATTACTACCATGATCATTACAAAACATAACAACTTCTTTATTCAACCACTCAATTTCATTTGTTGGCATTTGTTATTTTGGAATCTTTGAACCAGTGCAAAGCATTTAGAAGTTATAGTTGCTGCTTTCAAGGTATTAACAACCAGAAGGGTGAGATGAAATATTACAAATAAAAAACAAACTTTGGGGCTAAAAAAGTTTTTAAAAACAATTTTAGGCTTGAGGGATGGGCCAATCAGTGTATTTGGCCTTCTTGGCTACCGTGATTGGGTACAAGGTCCAAAAGATCCAGTGAGACAGAGGGACTCCCAAGACTTTGAATGTAGTGGAAGAGACATGCTTTTCCTTTCAGTCCTGTGATTTGAGCCTGTTAGATTTGGACTGCAACAAGGATTTTATTATCCTAGGCATGAGGGCCTAGATTCAATCCCAGTACTGCAAAAGCAAGCAAACAAATAAAAAGGAAACTTCTTCATAAAGGAAGTAGCCCTGGCACATGCCTATAATACCAGCATTTGGCAGGCTGAGGCAGGAGGATTGTTGCAAGTTCGAGGCCAGCCTGGGCTACATAAGTGAGTTCAAGGCCAGCCTGAACTGCATAGTGAGACCCTGTCTCAAAAAGACAGAAATAAATAAATAAATAAATAAAGAGGGGCTGGGGATTTAGCTCAGCGGCAAAAGTGCCTGCCTGGCAAGCGCAAGGTCGTGAGTTCGGTTCCCGGTACCAGAGAAAAACCAAAAAA